TTCTGCCCGTTTGAGGTGAGAACACAGGAGGATACCGGCTCCACACAAAGGCTATATAATCTATCGAACGTGTTGGGGGTCGCCCAGCCCGCAGCTCTACAAATATCTGTCAACGAGGCGCCATGGGCCAGCGCCCAGGAGGATGCAACACTCCTAGTAGAGTGACCTCGCAACCTGAGCAGGCAGTGCACATCCTGTGCCTGATAAGCCAGGGTGATGGCATCCTCACATCCAGTGGGCCATCCTCTGCTTAGAGACGGCCTTCCCCTTCTGCCGGCCTCCGTAACAGACAAAGAGCTGGTCTGAGGTCCTAAAGCTTTGTGTCCGGTCTATGTATTATCTCAAGGCTTGGACAGGACAGTTCAGCACCGACCGTGCACGTTCCTCTGTGAGGCGTGCTGTCTGTTCGACCGAATCCAACTCCATACCGAGAAAAGAGATCCTCTGCTTCGGGGAGAGTTTGCTCTTTTCCCAGTTGACCTGAAGGCCCAACCAGCTGAGGTGCGAAAGCACCAAGTCGCTATGTGAACACAACTGATGCTGAGACTGTGCTAGTATGTGCCAGTCGTTGAGGTAGTTGGGAATTCGAACGCCCTGTTCTCTCAGGGGAACAAGGGCTGCCTTCGCAACTTACGTCTCGGGGAGGGATGCACCCGAAGAAGCGTTTCTGCATCAACATCTTGAACGGTAACCATCGAAGGGCCCAGTTCAAGACACGCAGATCCAAGATTGGTCGTAACCCTTGCCTTTCTCGGGTACAATGAAGTAAGGGCTGTAAAAGCCTGTATTCATATCGGCTGGAGGGACCGGCTCTATCGCATCCTTCGCCAGTAGGACTGCGATCTCTGCACGCAAGACAGGAGCATCGGCCGCCTTCACTGTCGTGAAGCGGATGCCACTAAACTTGGGGGATACCGGTCGAACTGAATCGCATAGCCGAGGCTGATGGTCCGTGCAAGCGGGACCAGCGGAACCATCGCCGTACCCGCAGTGGGGCAGCAAGGTGGAACACATGGAACCCAACTCGGGCGGCTTGTGAGTGGACGAAGGGGGGTCTGAGTGTGCGGTGCAACGCTTACCTGGTTCCACAGTTTGGCAGAGGGTGCGTGAGTAACTGGGTCACCCATCCCGGGGCCTCTTGCTCTTTCGCTGACCGCCAGGTTTGATGGGGGCCTGGACGGGTGGGGCGGCCTGCCTACGCCCAGCTCCATGGCGCCGCTTGCTGGGGGCTGCTGTGGATGCGGCACGGGAGCAGGGGCGGACGCAGGGGGCCACCCTCGGCGACGAGCAGGCTGGGGCATGGCGGCCGGCGGACGGCAGCAGCAGGGTGTGACGATCAGCCTCAGTCTGCTCCTGTGCAGCCAAGAGCTGCTGGGCCAAGCTCTCGGCCGCGTCGCCGAAGAGGCCGGTCTGGGACACAGGGGCATTAAGAAACCAAACTTTGTCGGCGTACCTCATATCAACCAGACACAGCCAGAGATGGCGATCCTGGACCACAAGTGTGGACATCGCACGACCCAGAGAACTCGCTGTGACCTTCGTCGCTCGGAGCGCGAGGTCAGAAGCGTTTCGGAGCTCTTTCAGAACTTCCGGATCATGAACACCCTCGTGCAGGTCGCTCAGTGCCTTGGCCGGATGAACCTGCAGTAACGCTGTAGCGTGTAAGGCGGAAGCAGCTTCTCCACAGGCTGTATAAGCATCGCCGGACAGGCCAGACGAGTACCTACA